TGGGTTCAGGCAATTCTCCTGCCTCAGCCTCCTGAGTAGCTGGGATTACAGGCATGTGCCACCATGCCCAGCTAATTTTTTGTATTTTTAGTAGAGATGGGGTTTCACCATGTTTGTTTAACTGACTTTTTAAATTTCATAGTGGCATGCTTTGCTTATTCTTTCAGTTTATTTTGCATAGTTTCTACAAAATTTTTGTAGTTATCTTGAAAAATGGACATTATGCAAAACATCTTCAGATTAAATTAATATGTTTTTATCTCATAACAATTTTAATTGAATACAAAAATTATATTTCTGTATCTTCCAGTTAGTTATTTCTAACTGGAAGATATAGAATAACTAACTGGAAGATATAGAATAACTTCTAACTGGAAGATACATAAATATACCTTCTTTCAGCAGCATGTTGTAGTTTTCCTTGTCTTTTGCCTCCTTGGTTAGGTATATTCCTAAGATTATTTTTGTTTTTTGTTTTGTTTTCACATCTATTGTAAAAGGGGCTGAGTTCTTGATTTGACTGTCTGCTTTGTCACTGTTGGTGTCTAGAAGTGCTACTGATTTGTATACATCAATTTTGTATCTGAAAACTTTGCTCAATTATTTTATTGCCTCTAGGAGCTTTATTGAAAAGTCTAGGGTTTTGAAAGTGATGCTATTTATTTCTATTTTCTGCTTGCTCTGTGTAGGACTTCCTGTACTGGGTTGAAGAGGCATGGTGAGAAGGGCATCCTTGTTTGTCCCAGTTCTCAGAGGGAATGTTTTCAACTTATCCTCATTCAGTATTATTTTGGCTCGCGGTTTGTTATAGATGGCTTTTATTATATGGAATGCTGAATTTTGTTGAATGCTTTTTCTGCGTCTAATGAGAAGATCATGTGATTTTTGTTTTTATTTATTTTTCTTTTTATGTGGCATATCACATTTACTGACTTGCATATGTTAAACCATCCCTGCATCACTGGTATGAAACCCACTTGATAATGGTGGATTCTTTCTGATATGTTTTTGGATTCAGTTAGCCAGTATTTTCTTAAGGTTTTTAGCATCTATTTTCATCAGGGACATCAGTCTGTGGTTTTCTTTTTTGGTTAATGCCCTTTTCTGGTTTTGGTATTAGGGTGATGCTGGCTTCATAGAATGAATTAGAAAGGGCCCCTCTTTCTCTGCCTTTAGGAATAGTGTCAATAGACTTGGTACAAATTCTTTTTTCAGTGTCTGGTAGAATTCTGCTATAAATCTGTCTGGCCCTAGACTGTTTTTGGTTGGTAATTTTTTTGTACACATTTACTCTTATTGTAAGAAAGCAGCTTGTATAGTTGTAACATTTAAAACAGAGCATCATCTTTCCTTTCTGGTGAAACAAAAAGAAAATTTAAAAATAAACAGAAATAAAATTACAATAGAGAATGCCAATTCCAAATAAGATTCTACAGTTTCTGCTGCTTCTCCCATTGAGTGGCAGAGCTTAAGTCATCATGTGGAGAGAATTTATTTTAAGAATGTCATCTTAGGCCGGGCACGGTGGCTCATGCCTGTAATTCTGGCACTTTGGGAGGCTGAGGCGGGCAGATCATGAGGTCAAGAGATTGAGACCACCCTGACCAACAGGATGAAACCCCATCTCTACTAAAAAAAAAATACAAAATTTAGCCAGGGGTGGTGGCGTACACCTGTAGTCCCAGCTACTTGGGAGGCTGAGATAGAAGAATCACTTGAAACAGGAGGCGAAGGTTGCAGTGATCCAAGATTGTGCCACTGCACTCCAGCCTGGTGTCAGAGCAATACTTCATCTCAAAAAAAAAAAGTCATCTTAAACTGCAAGGAGATCTGTCAAATATCACAATTAAACATGCCAAAGGAGAAGCCATGTTGTCAAAATATCCACCTAACCTACTCAAACATCTCAAAACCACCCTTTGCTTACTTTCTATAACTCCATTTTTTGAAGGTTTTTTTTTGTTTGTTTGTTTTTGTTTTTGTTTGTTTTAACAAGAGAAAGTAGACAGATACATGTTGGTAAATGCTAACTGTTCATATTTTCCCACAGAGCTTGGTGGTGATGATTCCCTACAGATTTTGTTCAGACAGAAAGGTATTAAAATGAATTTTCAACAGAAAGGGGTAGAGACTCGTTTCCCATTGTATTCTGCTCAAGGTATTTCACCCAAAATAAGTTGAGAACCATGGTGTAGAGAAGGTTGGTATCTGTCAGTGTTCTATTGGTCGTCATCTTTTTTATCCTTCTCTCCTTCTTCCCCTTCATCATTATCTTCATCTTTTTCACTTTCATCCTCTTCCCTCATCCCCTTTCTCATCAATATTTTCTAATCCTTCCTCCTCTACTATTATCAACATCTTTTTCTCCTCCTTCATCATCCATATCGAGAAAGAAGAGTAGTACTGTGGTGGGTTTGGCCAAATATCAACTTTGATGACCTCTCCTAACTCATCATCACTTGGATCAGAATGGTCAGTAAACCAGGTAAAGAAGCTCTCTGGTTCCTCGTGCTGCCACGTCCTGCTGGCTTTATTCTGCATTTGACATGAACATTTCATCAAATTGTTTCCAAATTTCCATTTAATTTTGGTGGACTTTG